TCTATAACGCACTTCACTTCCAAAATGCCCTGTTTAAGACATAACTGACGTACATCTTTATGGAGCACTTCAATAAAAACGAAACACTCTCAGGAATAGTTGGGTGTTTCAGCAACCGTATCTGTAAGCCGGCAGGACATAACGAAGCTAACTGTAAGATTAGCATTTCTTCCACCTTCATTATATCACTGCTTATAACCCCTCTGCCGTCATGCTAAATGACCGTTTTTATACTAAGGACGCATTATCCCTCTGGACGAACTTGGGCAAACATTTTTAATTCGTCTGGTAATGCGTCTCTAGTATTAAGATGGGCTCAAGACGTATTATGCGTCTAGACGAACTATCTCTCGTAGCGCGTCGTTCAAGACTAATTTCAAAGGATAGTTTGTTGGGTTCGACGATCTGAGAACGCATACTAATGGGGTCATTCCCGCGGGTTTATGTCCCGCGATTTTCTGCGATGCCAGATGATTTCAGGGTTTGGACGCCATTTCGGACTGACTTTGTGGTACGCATGGCCTCGGTCTGATGTGATGCCTCGCTTTGAATAAAAGTGAGGCCTTACATCAAGTGCTACCGGTGCATTTCCATGTGCTTTTCTTCGTTCGTTGTTCTACGTAGGAATCTTCACAGTTTTCTCCAAGGTTAGTGAAGTTGTATTGATTTATCCGAACTCAGTTACTACCTAAAATGCCTAAAGGCCCTAATCTAAGCACCAGAAAGCTGTGTAATGCTGTATTTTCTCCGAAATTGCGTGGGTAACATATCGATTTGTGATCTGTGTCGTCCTTCAGGCGTCAGCTGCTTTTCTCGGCGATTCAACTTCTCTGTGAGAATGAAGTTGCAAGGCTCGACCGTAACAGCTCGAATAAATCAAGACAACTTCATTGACCGTGGGAAAGAGAGCAAATATTCCAACGTAGCACAGCAAAGGACGAAAAGGAAATGGCAATGCACACCACCCAACGATTTTCACTGCAGGTCAGCTTAATAGGCTCTTAATTGA